TAATACAAAATTGCAAAATACATGAAGTAAAAATTTCAAGGAGAAATAGAAAAATGCCAAATTGTCTTGGAAACTTCAGCATTTCCCTCCCAATAATTGTTAGAACCATTAGACAGAAAATCAGTAAATGACATAGAATATTTAAGCAATATAATCAACCAACTTGACCTAATTGACATTTATAGAACATTTTACCTAACAACAGAAGAATACACACCCTTTTCAAGGGCACAAGGAACATTTAGTAAGACAGGCCATACTATGGGCCATAAAAGAAGTCTCAGTACATTTAAGAGTATGCAAGTAATACAAAGTATGTTCTGTCACCACAATAGAATTAAATTAGAAATGAATAGCAAAAAGCCCTGTGGAAAATTTCCAAATATTTGTAAACTAAATACCACACTTCCAAATAACACATTGGTTAAAGAATAAATTACAAGAGAAATTAGAAAATATTTTGTAACTGAATTAAAATGGCAAAAATAAAATCAAATTAGCAAGATACCACTAAACAGTGCTTAAGGGGAATTTTATAGCAATAAACGCCTATATTGGAAATGAGGGAAGTTCTCAAGTCAATAACTTCTGCTTCTACTTTAAGAAACTAGAAAAAGAAAAGCAAATTAAGCATAAAGTAAACAGAAAAAAAGAATAACTAAGACCACAGTGGAAATCAATCAAATAGAAAATAGAAAAACAGAGAAAATCATTGAAACCAAATAGTGTTTCTTTAAGAAGATCAATAAAATTAATAAACCTATAGAAATACTTCTCAGGGGCAATATGAGAAAGGAGAGGATTACATCTACAGATTCTGCTGATACTAAAAGCATAATAAGGGAATATTATACACAATTTTAGGCCAAGAAATTTGCCAGTGAAGATGAAATGGGCAAATTACTTGGAGGACATGAACTGTCGCAGCTTACTCAGGAAAATAAAGATAACCTCAATGGTGCCATTACTATTAGAGTTACTGAATTCGTAGTTTTAACCTTTCCCCACAATAAAATTTCAAACTGAATTGTTTAACAGTTGAGTTGCAATCTACCAAATACTTAAGGAATCATTGAAAATTGAAAATATGTCACCAAAAGCATGATCCATAAAAAAAAAATTGTAAATTGAAATTTGTTAAAATCAAAATAGTTTGTCTTCTTAAAGACACTGTTAAAAGAATGAAAGAGACAAGTCACAGACTGGGAGAAAATATTTACAAATTATATATCAGATAAAAGATTGTAATCCGAATATATAAAGAACTCTCAAAACTCAATAATGAGAAGACAAATAACCCAGTTCAAAAATAATATACAAGGATAAACGATTTAAGGAGACATTTCCTCAGAGGAGATATTCAGATGTCAAAAAAGTATCTAAAGAGATATTCAACATCACTAGTCATTAGGGATATGCAAATTAAAACCAAGCTGAGATACCACTATACCCCTTAATAATGGTTAAAAAATTAATAATTTTTTTTAAAAAGTCTAAGCCAGGCGTTGTCAAGAATATGGAGGAATTGAGGCTCTCATACACTGCTGGTGGCCATGTATAATGGTAAAACCACTTTGAAAACAGTTCAACAATTTCTTAAAAGGTTAAATGTATATCTACCACATGATTCAGCCGTTCTACTTGGAGATATTTACCCAAAAGAAATGAAAGTATATGTGCATACAAAGATTTGTACATGATGTTCATAGCAGTTTTATTTGTAACAGGCAAAAATTGTAAACAACCCAAATGAATATAAAAAGTGACTAGATAAAAAAACTGTGGTATAGCCATACAATGCAATAACACTCAGCAAAAAAAAAGGACTGAGCTATTGATACACACCTGATCTGAATGAATCTGGAAAAGATTATCCTGAGTGAAAGAAATCAGTCAAAAGAGAACCTACTGGATGATCTCATCTATGTGGCATTCCAGGAAACGCAAAGTAATGTATAGTGTCAGAAAGCAGATCAGTCATTCTGGGGGATGGGGAAGAATGGGAAAGGCAGGAGTGTGGATGACAAAGGGGCGTGAGGAAACTTTGGGGGATGGTGAATATGTTCACTATCTTTATTGTGGTGATGATTTCATGGATGTGCATACATGTTCAAACTTACGAATTTGAATCGTTTAAATATGTGCAGTTTATTATACATCAATTAAACTTCAGTAAAGCTGTTAAATCAAGTGACAGAACAAGCTACGGACTATGGTCATTCCCATGTCGCAGCTCAAGAAGAGGAAATAAAACTGTCTCTAAAAAATCATGTTGCCTGAGGTGTGTTTCATAAAATTATATCTGTGCCTTGCATGGCAGGACTATCGAAATGGGCAATTTTCATTAACACAGTATTTAAAATTGTAACATGGCTAAAATAATCTCTCTCAAGTATTCTCTGAACATGCCTTCCAAACTCTCTAAGAGAAGCCACTCTAAGTGAATGGAAAGACTCCTATCATCTTGTCTCTCTCTGACTCATGGGTCCACTCTGAATTAAAACGTGGCAAGCAAGGTGAGAGCCACAGATATGCCAGCTCCCTAGAAAAAGTCCCAAGTTTTAATCTACATAGTTAACAGTGAGTTTTTGCTTGGGTAACAGATATAAATGGAAAATTCCTAACTGCTCCACATCAGCAAGTGTAATTTAGCAATGCTGAAATCTGTCTAAAAATCTGTTAACTTAAGTGCATAGGGTAGTCTCTGCCAGTTCCTTTTTTTTCGCTAACACAATGAAATTTTGAAGAACGGCACTCTGAAGTTCTCCTGAATTATAACTTACTATATAGTAATTGTTTCTCTGCTTAACTTAAACCACATTTCTTGGTTATTTAATAATACAGATTGAAATATAATATACAATGAATTACACAGCTAAATAGCCAAGAATACAGTAACATTTTAAAAAAAATAGTCTATCAGTTACCTAAAGTGTCAGGATAGTTCCTTGGTTTCCCATTGTCATGAGTCAGCCAAGAACTTCTGCATACACAAAGGGACACAGGCAGACGGCATTTAATCTAACATGCAGCTAGCCTTTCAACCTCCTTTTACACCTACAGTAGGCACTGAAATTGATAGAAATCCAGGGATATATGCCCAGGAATCTCAGAATTCAAAATATACGATAAATTAATAAATGCTCACTTTGGAATACATTGGTTTATATTTAGAAAGAAAAAAATAATGGTTTCATAAAATATGGTAATAAAATTTGCTGTTCACTAATTGGAGATATCCAGAGCATGTTGATCAACGTTTAGTAACCAGCTTGTGGGGGAAGGCGGAGCCCTGGTTCGTGGCATTTGCCAATTTCTGTGGTGTAAATACTTCCACCACGGCTGCTTTCAAGCTGATTTAACTGAACGTGAAGGTGGGAAGAGAAGTGCACAATGGGTTCCCCTGAGCTTGACGACGAGGTGGTAAGAGCACCCCACTAGAAATAACTCATGTGTGACTACAGATAACTCCAATCCTATAACAGAAATAAACTAAGTTTTGGGGATATGCCTATGTGTCTTATTCAACTCAGAGTCTTCAACTCTGAAGCTATCTTTTAACCTGTGACAATAAAAAATTTTCATCTGAAAAAATCATCTTTAGGATGTAGGAGACAGTACCCAACATCAAATATTTGAAATGTCTTGAGATTGAGGTATTCAATAAATTTGCTTGCTCTTGAACAGGAATCTTTATCTGTTTAAATGTAATTCAAATTGAGTGCTGATCGTTAGTCCCCCAAAAAGTGAAAAGGAAAGGAAACAAGTAAGACACAACATTTTAATACTGATTGTAGACAAAAATTAACCTGAGGCAACCTGTTAGTAAAGAAGGAGGATGGTTAGGATAAAGTCAAACATATCTCCCATCATAGACCTTGGGTGCCCCACCTGAGAAGAGGTATAGGTTTGTGTTTCTATTTTTGTTTTGAGGGAGTATTTGTCTTACAATAACAGGAATTAATAAGGGTAGATAGAAAGCCATCTTTTTGTGGTGTTTTCCACAAAGAGAGACTTTCTTCAAAGCTTTATAAGGAAAACTAACAGAAAGAAATAAACTTATCAAACTAGAAGTTCAACAAAAGAGGAGAAAAACGAGGGCAACAACACCTCTAGCATTTCAACACAAGTGTAGCAAAGAAATAATAAAAGGAGTAACGAAAGAGCAGACATATACCCAAGTTCTGAGTCTGACTGCAGCTGGAGCACTGAGGGGTCTGTGTCCCACTGCAGGGTCCTAATCGTGCAGCACAAAGGAAAAAGAACACAGTGAATTAACAGAAGGGGAGGGCAACAAACCAAACCAAACCATGTCATTCATAAGGCAAGAGCATATACGATACATACATAGAACGTGTCCCCCTATCCCCTCCACCCCTAGTGACCATCAAACGACAAGAGACAGCAAGGAGCCATCGTTTCCTTTGAACATCTGTTCGATATTGGAAGCTATGGTTGTTTTCATGGAAGAAAGCCCTGAGCCAAATTTTCAAACTCCACTCCTTTGTTTTGTTTTGTACTGAAGTATTATTGATTTGAGCATGTAAACCACTGCATCTATCTCTGACAGCCCAGAGCCCGTCCACATCTGGGAGCTCCAAGCATCTTCCATGTGGTGAAGAGAACTAAATGCAAGGGTACAAATGGGCCAGGGCAGGAGCGTCTGGGAAGTCAGGCCCGTGGGAGCATGACTGCAGGGCCGGGTGAATAACTGGCTTCCTCAGGCCAGGCGCTGCAAATACAACACATTAGATTTCAAGACACACGGGTATTTTTGTGTTCATTTATATATCCTACACCAAGGTGGTCTCCAACGATATCACTTGTCTCTAAGATGTCAGGGATTGATTGTATTCTGCATCTTTTAAATACCGCACAAGAAATAGCACAAAGTATCAATAGTTACCAAGGCATCTGACTTCCCCCGTCATTTCTCCTTTGAAATAAGAGGGGGTAAACAGCTCTTCTGCAAACAGAGTACAAACAAGGACCTTTTTCAGGCAGGCTTTTTAAATTTCCTGCTCAGAAATAAGTTCCAGGTGAATCAGGCATGAGGCTATCAGGGAGGCAACTGGTGGACAGCACAGACTTTGTGGCCAGGCATCTGCGACTCCAATCTTGCCAGAGTGGCCTTCCAGCTGTGTGACACCAGACATTGTTTCTGTCCTCAGCCCCAACAGCCTGTTGTTTACTGTAAGTGTGGCCCCGTAGCATCAGCATCTCTTGGGAACTTGCTGGAAATGCATAAATTCAGGTTCCACCCCAGACTTACCGACTCCGCACTAGAGTCTCACAAGGTCCCCAGGTGGTCAGTGGGTACCCTGGATTTGAGAGGCCTCGCTCTCTTGTTATTTCTAACAAGTTGTTATTTCTAACAAGTTTCCTTGTCTGTAAAGACTTACCGTAGCTTATAAAACAATTTGTGGTGGCCTGCAGCTATCTTCCAAACAGCTCCAACCACTCTTCTTCTCCCTCACTTTATGCTCACTCTTGCGTCCTCCTCGATGTTCTTCCCCTAAACAGCTGTGTGGCTAGTGACTTGCTTCTTTCATGTCTTGCTTCAAATGTCACCTCCTCAGAGAGGCTTCCCTGCTTCCCCGCCTGATCTCAAGTAGCACTTCTTTATCATTCTGCATTTCCTTCCTTTACTCGGTTTTACTTTCTTCATAGCACTCATCTTTACCTATGATTTTATTATGAATCAGTTTATTTATTACTGTTTGTTGTTTGACCCTGGACTTAAACCTCTCAATGGCAGGGACGGCTACATCCCTAAATTACAGGGCTATGCCTGGAACTGTGCCTGGCACACGTGCTTATATAATATTTGTTGAATGAATGAATCTTTCTCTGGTTTTCTACAGAGATCCTATAAAGTACATCATAACCAGTTGATAAACAGCAGCCGCTCTTACTGCTGCCACAACCACTCTGTCTACTATTAATATTTGAGTCAGTGCCCTACCTGTGTGACAGATCCTGTGTTAGCTCCTCCTGCACAGGTACCAGGAAGCAGTTTCACAGCTTCCCTTCTAAGCTCTGGGTATACTCTTGTCTTCTTATCTAAATGCTCTAAAAGATGATAACTGAAGTCCAATGAGAACACCTACTGGCCACTGTTTCTTAGACCAGTGTTTCTCAAACTTTAATGAACATACAGATACCTGGGAATATTGATAAAATGCAGAGCCTGATTTAGAAGGTCTTGTGGGGTGGGCCTGAAACTCTGCACTTTGAAAAAGGTCCAGAGAATGCAGATGCTGCCAGTCTGTGGACCACAGTTGGAGCAACAGGACTTGACTTAGATAAATAGTTCTTAAACTTTAATGTTCATCAGAATGACCTGAGGGGCTTATTAAAATACAGAATACTGACCTCTGATCCCAGAAATGCTGATTCAGTAGATCTGGAGCGGTGCCTGTGAATTTGTATTTCTAACAAGTTCCCAGGTGGTGTTTCCAAGGCTTACCGTGGGACCACCCTTGGAGAATGACTTGACTAGACCGTTGCTTTCAGTAGTCAGTGTACTTTGAAAGCATCACGGATGCCCAAATATATCAGCATCCAAACTTGTGATCTGCTGAAGCCTGGCCTCAGGCCCAGGGCACTTCCGGACCAATTAAATCAGAATGTCTGGGCTGGGACCCAGCTATCTGTGTTTTTGAAAGCTTTCCAGGTGATTCTCATGTACAGCCAGGGGTGAGAAACCCTGCTCTGAACTCATTCTCTGCTCAAGGAAAGCAGCCCTTCCTGGTTCTTTCACTTCATTTAAAATGGCGCAAGTAATGGAATCCGTTAAAGTAATTCATAGTTGTTGTTCACATATCTCTGGGCGTCAAATGTAAGAGCATTTCTTTGCTGTAGACAGAACAGCCTCCAGCTCTTGCTGACTGTCAGAAGCGGTGCCTTGAAGGGGGTGGGATCAGATACTTCACCCTCAATTTGCCTTGAGGTTTCTGACGGCATAACCTTTGTTGACCTTTTCCATATCTCCCAGGCAGGTGAAGAATGCAGCAGCTCCCAGGTGGTCTGGCTCTGCTGATACTTTACTGCACAGATCACCTGAACTCACTGTACCCTTAAGAAGTATAAATAGTGACTCTATCAGAATTGCCCACTTAAGTAGTCCACGGATTAGTACTCGGAGTTTGCATTTACTCAGCCCAAACAACAAAGGTGGTACTATATATGTGACTAACAGCACACAGCAGCCCGGTCCCCGTCACACATATGTTATCTAGCAAAAGATTTCATAGTTATCGTCAGTAACAAGCTGTGGAGTAAGGAGTAAAGCCAAGAGTGCTATCAAGTGTGCCAGCTTTTCTTTTCACTTTTCCCATTATTATCTGTGGGGTGGTCAGACTTGCACAGAATTTTTACTTGCACAGAATGTACTTTTTTTTTCTTTGGAAATGAACTTACAGCCAATACATTAAGTGGGCTAAGGTTGTTTGTGTTTCCAAAGAGAGCCTAGAAATGCATGTTAAGTGTTTGTTGAATTTCTTCTGTGCAAACTTGTAGGAAAGTGTCCCCACAGATGGCAGCATCTTAGAAAGGGCCATGCCTGGCCTAGGAGCAGGAGGTCTGTGTTCTGGGGGTGGCTCTACTGCGGCATCAGGCAAATCTCTTTCTGTTCTCAGCAAAGTGAGCATATAGGCCTCGAGGCCCTTTCAGGTTCTTCTCTGCTTAATATTTTAAAACATAGAATGATTATTAAACTGCCTTTTAGCTTTTTCTTCTCTAGTAGGAACAATTTATTTAACCAATCAACAGAGATCTTACTTCCCAACCATTTTTGTATCATTGAAAATAAAATGATGATTTTTCCCCACAGCTTCTTAGACAGTTTGAAATCCTGCCAGGTAGTTTATTTACAAAATGAAAGAAGTAGTAAAATTGTAAGTAAATGCATAGGAACATAATATACTCTTAAAAATTCTTTTCATATAGAAATCACCCTGTTTACTATATTATTTAGTTGTATTTTTTTTTCAGTCTCTGAAATAGTTCAATCAATGCATACAGGGGAGAGAATATTTTTGATAAGGACATTCATTTACTTATTCAATACACATCTATTAGGGGCCTAATATATAAAATACTGTGATAGAGGCTCAAAAGAATGCTCAAGGAACCTACATTTCTTATGGGGAGATCAAACACATATAAATAATTTAACAGAACAAGGCAGAAAGTAAAACATGCCATAGATGCAGCACCACAGTGCATGGAGGGACAGGCGATTTGCGCTTAAGAATTTTACATTTTGGTAAAGAAATTGAGCTGTAGGAATATTTATGCCTAACGATATACTGATAACATACAAGGAAGATGGTAGTTCTCATCACTTGCCCGGGGCCTGGCACAGTTTAAAGTTTCAATAAATATGAGCTAAAAAAATTAATCAATGACATAAGAAAGATCGATTAAGAATAATGACAGTTATAATTTCCTTTCTCAAATGAAACCTGTCTGCGCCAGCCAGCCAGGCATTGGACTGTACTTTCATCAACCTTTGGAAGCCAGATCAGGGAAACACACTTCCTCTGAAAAGATTAGAGATTCTATTTGATCTGGTCTTGAAGGATGGGGTAGAATCTGGACATAAACTCATTTTCATTAGTGCCTAGTTTATTGAATTTAGGTGGTTGAGTTAGTCTACTAAGTCTTCTTAGACTATTATATTTTTGATGTCAGTTTACCAATTTACCATGAGAATAATAACTGCTAGGCAGACAAATCGTACAAGCCTGACAAAGTCAATTTTTCCTTAAAGCTGAACTGCTGAGAAGCTAGTTGACCGGCAGTGTCTTTGGGATTAGAACAGGTGAAGTTGAATGTTTAACTGTGAGAGCTTCCTGCCCTCCACATGCCAGGCCTCATCTTTCCCCATAATCAGAATCCCCCTCACTGCTGCCCAGATTTCCCCGTTCTCTAATCCTGGAATGACCGACCAGCCCTTGCTGATTGATACAACCTTTCTTTAACTACGTCAGTTGGATTTCTGTCCAGTGTTCCTGGCTGGGAAACCATCTTAGTTTTGTTTGTTTGCTTATTTTTATGAGTTGCATTTGTCTGCTCTAATCAGTTTTAGCCCATCTCTTAGGTTAACTCTCTGAGGGACTGAGGGAAGATTTCGGATCTCTTTCATAGGGGATCTGCTGTTTGCACAGATGCTGAATAATCCAATCCTGTTTTACCTGCTCTGGGCTCAGGGGCATTGCTATGGTTCTGTGG